AAGAAGTAGAGGAACCTACACGTTAGTTTGTGGGCAAGAATGATCTTTTTGGGCAACTTTATCCCAAAATGCACGTGGGGACTGGATCAATGATTAATGTCTGATTGAAATAATGCCAGTTARCAGGCTAAATGCTCACTGTTTTCCCTTTCGTTGTGAAAGATGGGCAAAGAAGCAGCCAAATAAAAATATCTTTTAACAGGATACAATAAAAAAGAAGATTGGTAATGAGTGAATCTTACATCCTTTATCCCCAAATGAATGTGGACTGCATCTTTGCTTCACCTTCACATTTTGTTGAGAAAGCAGAAGCGTGGTTTCTCATGTGACAGCTCTCATTAATTTGGCTGCATGATGAARTAATTGTAATTACTCCAAAATAAAAGCCAGATCTCGATATTGCAGTGGGATATCTGGGTATTGTAGAAATGCTTTCCAAATTACCTGCAGCTAGAGGTGTCTGTGAGTAACAAACACACACACATCACCTTTAGCCAACCCCTGACAACTCTTCCTTACTGCTCCAATCAGCTCTAGCCARTCTCAGGGGAATTTATAAATATATATAAATATAGGATAAAGCACTCTGGAAAAGCATCTCTTCTGCTTCACTATGAAGTGCTCAGAGTAGAATGCTTTTCTGGAGATCTCATAATTCAGGTTTGTTTTTCCTTTCTCTTCTTCCACCACTCTCCACAAAAGGTAACAGAGAAATCACCTTTGTTATATTCAAATGTTGTTACTGATGATATTGGAATTTGGATTGATTAGTCCATAAAAAGACATCTGCTGTAATTTTTATTTTTTTTATTATTTTTTTTTACAGGCTAGAAATGGTAGCTGAGCATTTGAAGACAGYAGAAAATACTCAAACTTTGAAGGCAACACTATGAAAGAAGAATCATAGAAAAAGATTAAAAATAGAGAAAAAATATATGCATAAGACTGACTTATTMTCTTTTGAAACTTTTACAATCCTTTCAAGAAGATCTTTTCAAAATCTGGATATTTTTATAAATTCTGGTCATCCTTTTGTCTATTCAATCAGGCAGTTGTATTTTGATTGCAGATTTCCCACTTCATCAGCTGCTGAGCAGTGAACGAAGAGAGCCCCWCCAGGTACCAGAGCAGGATGATGCTTGGGAACCTCAGTGAAGTGAGTGAATTCAAACTCCTGGGTTTTGCTGAAATCTCTCACTTGCAGCCTTTGCTCTTTGTAGTTTTATTATCTCTTTATATTCTCACCTTGATGGCAAACACAGTGATAGCTTTSCTGATAACTGCTGATAACACCCTTCACACCCCCATGTATTTCTTCCTCACTCAGCTGTCCTGTTTGGATATCTGCTACTTGTCAGTCATTATCCCAACCATCCTGGAGAACCTGATGGTGGGAACTGTAGGTATTTCCAARGCAAGGTGTGCAATGCAAATGTTTTTCTTCCTTTTCTTCGGAGTTGCTGAATGCTTTCTCCTGGCTGCCATGTCCCTGGATCGTTTTATTGCCATTTGCTACCCCTTGCATTACACAATTCTCATGAGCAGCAGCCTCTGCAAAAGCCTGGTGGCTGCAAGTTACATTTGTGGCACTGGTGTGGGCTTGGTGCACACCACCACCACCTTCAGCTCACCTTTGTGTGGTTCTGCCATCAACCACTTCTTCTGTGAGATCCAACCCCTCCTGGAGCTGCTCTGCGGTGACACTGCCCCAAGGGACACCCAGGTCATTGTGGTGGCTGTTTTTGCCATTCTCAGTCCTTTCCTRCTGGTCATTTATTCCTATTTTCGTATCATTTCCACCATTCTTGGGATGCCATCAGCTGAGAGCCAGCAGAAAGCCTTCTCCACCTGCTCCTCTCATCTCTTGGTTGTGACTCTTTTTTATGGAGCTGCGGGCTCCATGTATTTGAGGCCAAAATACAGCTACTGTGCCTCTGTGGATAAATTCCTCTCACTTTCTTAYTCTGTGGTCACTCCTTTATTGAATCCTATCATTTACAGTTTGAGGAATAAGGAGGTAAAAGAAGCTCTGAGAAAAAAATGGAGAAAAATTAATTTAGTGTGGAAATGAAAGAGAAGATTTCCATTGTTTCAGGTGTCTGTAGTGGTATTTTTCACTCTCAATTCTTGTTCAGTAAAATAAATTTCCAGATAATTCCCAAGAGAACTTCAGCTTTTGGGGAGGAAAGAGGGAGAAAAATGGAGATTTTCAGCTGCAGGATGCAGTGCTAGAAGCTATGTCAAGATTTTGGGAGGAAATTTCCTCCATCTAATTAAGAAATTATTAACTAAATGAACACTTTTTCTTTTTCTTTTTCTTTTTCTTTTTCTTTTTCTTTTTCTTTTTCTTTTTCTTTTTCTTTTTCTTTTTCTTTTTCTTTTTCTTTTTCTTTT